ATTTAGCTGTCATTTCTCAAGATAACAGTATAATTCAAACTGAATTGTAGATGAACTGGGTTGTTTGACGTCTTTTAGTGATGAAGAACTATAACTTTGAGATTGAGATTGTGATTAAAATCAAAATAGAAATAGAATTCAACTTCCCTTTAGGAAAGGGAAGACTTTTGGGTGTGATGAACTTCATGGTGCATTGTTGCTCTGCTAGAAACAGAAGTACTCTTTTGCAATGCTCAATTTTGGGGCTTTATAGTGGTGCTTTCTCATGGATAATTGAATTTAATTCCGTCTTTGATTGGCTATGAGGCTATATTGCTTTCTTCTATTTGGTTATGCATTTCTGCCATGACAGATATGTTGTAATGTTGATTAGTTGATTGTAAAGGTCCCTACTCTGGAATTTTGTTATAGACAATAAAAATCAGAACCCAAAGAAGATGAACACTTTCTGGATTTTCTTCCTTCTTTTCATATTTTAAATTTTGAATAATTGTATGGGCTCATTAAAAGAGGACCCAATAATCTCGAAATATTTAAAAGAGCTAAAGAACTTAAGAAAATTGTTCTCAGCATAAAATCCTGTTCAAATCAGAGTAACCTTTTACGGCTTATAAAATAAGTGCATTTCAGACATAAAACCGACAGATAACTAACTGTAAATTCTTGTGTAAAAAAACCAGTAACACTCACAAAAAAAACTGACATAAATTTAAAGTAAAACTGAATATAAACAGATTAGATTAGGACAATCTGTCTGCTCAGTCAGTTGCTGACTAGGCCAGTCTCTCCCGCGACAGTGAAATAAGACTGGTTTTGTTCATGTGCTTACTACACTGCCCGTAATGCAGCAGTTACCTATTGTTAATTTGTGGGAAGGCCTTTAATGTGATAACTCGCTTGTTTGAATTTCTAGCCTTTTACGTTGATAATTGGTGGGGGAGAACTGCTACAACAGGTATTTTTATTGCTGCGGCAGTTACAGACTGGCTTGATGGGTATATTGCCAGAAAAGTATGCCTTTTCTTTTCTTATTTTTCTTACTCATACGATTACTCAATACATGCTTTTTGAGTTTTCGGTCTTTTTCATTTCTGTAAATGAAACCTTAAATCTAAAATGAATTTCAGATGAGATTAAGCTCTGCCTTTGGTGCATTTTTGGATCCTGTAGCAGATAAGGTACAAAAGAACTTTATTAATTGATTTGGATCAATTAAATTAATATCTATTCTCTGCTTAAGTTTAGGGATAGTGAAGAGTTCTTGATTTTGTGGATGCAGCTTATGGTGGCCACAACATTGGTTTTATTGTGCACTAGACCTCTGGAGGTTGCTATGTTTGGACAAGTGCCATGGCTACTGACTGTGCCTGCAGTTGCCATAATTGGCAGGGAGGTAAGACATCTTGATAAGTATTTCTCAGGTTGCATGTAATTCTCTAGTATCTCTCTCTGCCTAAGTGTTTGTCCATGTGTCATCAAGTTCTTGGCTCATATGAGATTTATTCCTTTTACTTGCCCTTGGCCTCTTGCTGAGCGTATAATTTATTGTTGATCTTTTGGATTTTAATTCACAACTTATATTAGATAACCATGTCTGCTGTTAGAGAATGGGCTGCTTCTCAGAATGCTAAGCTTTTAGAGGTTTGTCATCTTCTTTCCAATTTATCATCTTGCTCCTTTTGTCTTTTACCTATTCTTTTTACTTTTCCTGAATGAATGATTGACTATAATTGTAATGACATCACAAAAGTGGTATTTATTGTCAGGCTGTTGCAGTGAATAACTTGGGGAAATGGAAAACTGCTACACAGATGATGGCACTAACCATCCTTCTTGCCACCCGAGACAGCAGGTTCATTCTCTTCCCTGTTATACTGTAAGGATAAGGATTGGGGAACCATCTGGTCCACAGACCAATAATATGATGGTTTGATAACTTCTTTTGCTTGGTAACTTAAAGATTTACTTGTTAATACTTAACATAATCCTTGTGAGATAGTAACTTCTTTGCTGACAGAGTCTTGAGACCCAGTCCATTCCAAAGCACTACCGACACTATGGCCCACAATCTTAAGTGGCATAGAATAGAACACTATGTAGTTTTGTTTAAAGCTTCTAATTGATTCCCTTCTTCTTTCTTCCCATTTATTCTTCACTTTTTTGCAGTCTTGGAGCGCCAGGAATTGTTGTAGCTTCTGGTGTTATTTTGCTTTATACATCAGCAGGGCTTTCCTTATGGTCTTTGGCTGTTTATATGGGGAAGATATGGAAAGTACTGATGAAATAGCATGCTAGGCCTGTTGCTGCTCATTGATGAGTATAGCGTTGTTATTTGGTCGTATGCACTTGCATTTACACCTGTGGATTTATTTTGGTGGAGGAATGGTGTTTCTGCATATATTGTTACGCACTGGAGGAGACATTTTCAGACAAGCAGATTAATTCTGCAGATTGAAGTTCATTTCAGTTGAATTGGTTTAGCTGAGGAAAACTGATTCTTTGAATTGATTTGATTTACAATGTTCAAACAAAAATTGTCCCCCCAAACCTTCACTATTACTCGGAACTAGTAGCAGCTGTCAGATTAAGGACAGATTTGGAGCTTGCTGAATCACCCACTCAGATGATTGGAGAGGCTAACCGAAATTCATTATATGCCATATTTATGGTTTTCTTGCCATTTAGTTTAACTTATTCTTGGAATCCAAGTATTTTTATCGTTTTTAAAAGGCTTAGCCATTTAAACACCAATGTAGTAGATTTGTGACCAGCCGTAATGTTACCGGCAGTTTCATTCATATTCAGTATAAGTTGTATGATTTCATGCTGCCGCTATGTCCTCTTTTATTTATTAGTATAAAAAAAATTAAATTTGAGCAAGAATAGTTTTTGAGTATACCAGTAATTTTAGGGTTTTCATACTTCTGGGAGACTGATCTTTGCCACTGCTTACTTGCCTGTGGATTCTAAGCTAGAGCCAACCATTTCTCTTTGCACAATAAAATAATAGTTAGTTTGCTCCCTAATTCCCTTAAATCAAACAAGACAGCAAATTAAAACTATGCATTTCTGACATCCAAAGTAAACATCTATCAGTAAAAATATAAATCATGCAGCCAAAGCTGGTCAAATCTGGTGGACTACTGCTGATATTTATGTTGAAGAGCGTCAAATTACAAGGAGCAAACACAAGAACACATGCAAGACATTATTCTCGGAGATGAGATGTGACAGTGTTGTAAGTTACAGACTTCAGCTTCTGGTTGAGAATAAAAGTGAAAAATCAGAATTCAGAGCAGAGCCTATTGAAGAGCGCAGGTTGGAAAAAAAAAATTCGACTCTGCCATTTCAGCAGTTCTAAAAACCAGCTGAGAACTTCATGGGATGTGAATTTCTAGTTTCCCAAGAACCGTCTCCTGTACCTCTCAACATGCTCTTTTGGATCATGACGTGTGCGTTTGTAGGCCTCAATTTTGTTCATTTCCTGCCCACAAGTATTAGAACATTACACGAAGCAATAAACAAATATATAAAATCACTCCGTGATTATGCAATCTTGCCAGACAGACAAATCATTACTCAAGAACTCAACTACGCCACTCAGCTGAGACCTACCTCAGACCGAAAACTGCATTAGCATGGTTCTAAAGAAAAATAAAATCCTTACTAGATTAGAAACTCCAATGATGTGCTTGTAAGATATCCAATCTAACTCTTAACCCTTCAAGTTGTAATCAGTGACTAGCAGATAAATTGAAAATAATTTACCAAGGCAGGGCATCATATGTGCCGAAAGGTATACTGGATGAATGCGTAACAAAATAAGCGCTAAAAATAGAAGAGTTTTCTTATTTATACCTCAATCCAAGCGGTCAGTTTAGGCCTGCCAGAGGTAATGTCATAGTTCTTCACATCCAGGAGTACAGGCTCAAATCTTTCAATGAATGGAGCAAAAGCTATATCCACCTGTAGATGACAACACAACACAAATTTTCCATAATCTCCGGCAGTAAAAAGAAAAAATTTCAAATAGAAGATGAGAAAGAAACAACTTGTTGCAATTTGTCATAACAATCTAAATTTCCACATACCAGACTGAACTGACCAAGAAGAAATGGCCCATCGTCAAATTTGGAAAGAGCTTTTTCAATGTGATCAAATGCATCACCTGATTCAGTTTACCTCTATTAGTACATATTAACATTTGCAGATTAAATCGAACAGAAAACAAAAAGCAAAACAGAACTAGCAACTCACTCGCTCCATTTATCTTTCCATTAAGCGAAGAAACCACAGCTTTATTAAAGGTGTCAGTATATGAAAACAGCTCTTCCGCAAATTCTTTCTTGACAGGATCCTACCATTCAGAGGAATATTTATTTACTAACTTATTTTGTCTATGTATGACAGATAAAATTACTTGAGCTGCCGAACAGTATATCAGTTTCCAGATCTTACATCAGGGAAAAGTGAAGGCCCTTCAAAGTGACTATCAACATATCTAATCAAGTCAAGACTCTCCCCCTTGACTTCATTATTGTGTTCCAAGGCTGGCACCTGCATACAGTGGACATAAAAATGTGAAAAGAAGGAAATAGCACTGAAAACATAACTAAACATTGTATTTCTTTGTTCATCATCCAAGGATGAATGATTTCCAAAGGATGAATGACTTCCAAAGTTATCAACTCCTAAAAGGTTAAGGTTACTGGAAAGGCCGAATTATTGGGGCTGTAAAAATGACGAGTAATATAGAAAAGCTATCGAGGTTGAAATTCATGACCTTTAATTAGGTTGAGTGACAAGATATTTCAAAGGTTTAAGTCAATTAAAAATGATCAATTTTATTATTCCATATATATTTTACATTGAAAAAAATTAACTGTCCATTTAATTCTCTAATTGTTTGGGCATCTCAACGAAGTTAAACAGATAAAAGCATTTGCAAATTCGGTTCTCTGATTCCATGAAAGTAAACTTTAATTGTGTTTTTTAAGATCTCCATACTGTCTCATGCTTTTTATTTCATAATAACTCTATTTCATCTTATCTTTCACTAAGAGATGTATCATATAAAGTTAGTTATGTAACATTAGAATAATCTGTCCCATTCGCTAGTTAATTCTGTGAAATGCATCAAACAGCACAAAATAGCATGTATTGCCCAGAAATTTGAAGTACCAAGTCAGATTACCTTGTTAGCTGGGTTCACATTCTCCTTATACCAAGCAGGCCTGTTTTGCAGATCAATTGGAACTAATCTTATCTTATCCTCTAAACCCTGCTCATCCACAACATTGTAGAAAAGAAAAAAAGAAAAAGAAAAAGAAAAAGATGAGCTTGTTTGAAAATATTGAAAATGCCTCAAGCTTTAACCACACCAGTTTAGATATGAGATAATGCGCATAACAAATTTTTATTGGTTAAGAATGAATCATAAACCTTCATCAACCAAATGTCAGACGATTTTCTTAACAGTTGTTTTAAAAGTTTTTTTTTAATATAAAATCATTCTACTAACCAAATAGTAAATGACCCCCTCATTTGCAATATATTCTCCCATTCTATTGTGTAAAAGCAAGATACTAAACTTAGCACATGAGCACAGGCATGCCTTGCATGAATGAAAGCCAAATTATGGGCAACAAACATGTGGACAACCAGAGGGGTTAGTTAAGACATTTTGAACCCATAATCTCATGTTTTCATTCCACTTAAAGGCTATGTTTGGAAAAATGAACTTTCTTTGTAAACTTATTTAGAAATCTACACTTATTTTGAGTGGGGAGGATAGAAATACTTTTCAAAACAATGAAATATACCATCCTCAGGAATTTGAAGTGAAATTGAAAAAGTGCATTTCAAATACTGGTAGAAGTTTCAGGGTGCATTGTCTCGATCTTCTTACAACTTTCTAAATGTCAAAATTTATCATTTTGGAAGGAATTTCACCCTCATATAATTGAAACAAACCATGAATTTCTAAATGAATTCTAAAACAAAATCTAGTTACTTCAAATATAGACCAAATTATTCATTAGATTATCAATTCTCCTAACTTCAGGTTAATCTAATAGGAAAAAGGAACTTTTGTTATTTAAATTTCCACACCAAAGATCCAAGAAAGAAAATCATTTCTTCTTGGCTACTTAAGAATGAATGGCAGGATCTCCACAAATCACCTAAAGAATCAAGAAGGAAAAACATCTCCTATGCCTACTGCTAAACCAGACAAGCAGAGTTGAAAGAATACATGTGCAACCCCCCTTCTCATAAGCTTTCCTTGTTTTTTCTCAGCAAGCAAGCAATCAAATTAACTGAAAAAAAGAGAGGGGAGACATAAAATCAGAAACAATAACGCCATCAAATCATGAAGAGAAGCTGAAACAACCTTACAGTTACGAGTAATCCACACACGCTGTGCGTAGGGACACGTATATGATATATACAACCTTTAAAACACCAAAAATGAAAGCACTTAATATATGTCGAAATTCAAATAAAACACAAACACAGACGAAAAATATGGACGTCGGATCAATCATATGCAGTTAATCCTTTTATATTTTGATGTGATTGTAAACAAAAAAGAAAAAAAAAGGAGCAAATTAAATCAAAATTCCAACCTTGTTGTTCCATCAAAGAGTGGAGGAGGATCTGAAGATGAATCAAGAGGTGGTGGTAAAATTTCTCCCGCGCTTCTGCATACAGAGAAGAAGATTTTAAAAACCTACCCACAATCTTCGCAATTCTTTGTTGGATTTCCATGAAAATCGATAAAGTGAACAATGACACCGAAATTTCGAAATTAACTACATTCCACTTTCCATTTTAGCGAAGGAAAAAATTGTAAACTCGAAACTCTCAACTCACTGAATCAAAAACACCAAACACCCTCCAGTAAAGTTGTTTTTATATCCCAGAAAATCAGGAATCAATAAACAATAAAAAGAACTTGTTTTTCCCGTCCCCAGGTTATTTCATAATCCCCAGCAACCAAACAGAAAAAGCTACCACATACACCGTTTCCAAAGTAGCTGATACACGTGTAGCTCCTTTATATCTGCTAACTGTGGACCGTAAGAATTGTGCGTGTAACGTAACCCTATTATCACGAAGAAGGAATTTGCCATTTCTCGGGAATCTTACAGTACAAACACAACCAATTTTCTTGGAGAGAAAAGGAAACAGAGAAATTGAAGTATCTCTGGAAGACGCCAGCAGTGACACGTTGGTAACACCATAGCTAATTTTCAGAGCTTCCATTTTGAACCTTCCCCACTCCTTTTTCTCCTTCGCGTTTGGCTAAATTGACTGTTAAACTAGCAATTTCTTGAGCTTCGTTGTCATTTTGATCAACTGTAACTGCGACTGAATGGATCATGATCTGCCACGTGTTCCATGATTTTGGGAAAATTTTTGCTCTTTCATTAGGAGAATAGAATTATAACAATTAAGACTTTTTAAAAGTCCACGTTCAGTGTTTTGATTAATTACTGTGCCCGGTTAATTACATATTTTTAGGATGAGTACTAACAAAATAAAATAGTAGTTTGCTTATTAAAATTTTTATATTTAATTTAAAAATTATAATATTTAATTTAATAAAATTAATAATTTCATTTATTAATATATTATTATAATAACCGATTTGTTATGTAAAATTCATGGGAATATGAAAGAAATTAAGCAGTTCAATTAATGACTACAAATTATTTATTTATATTACTGTCTCAAATTTGCAAACAATATTTGTAAGACATTTCGGCAAATCAAATCCAGCAAACAGGAACATGATTTTGTTAAAGAGAGATGGAAAAAAACAAAAACAAAACCTTCAGATTTTCATTATCGGAGCTTCTGTATCTACAGGCATCAAATGTGAAGGTGATTCTAACGCAGCCAAACATTTCTTCAAAAAAAAAAAAAAAATTCACAAACACCAAATGGACAGCAGATATCGGCCACAAATGAACATCTACTACTCCAAGGAAGTTAGTTAACCAGGAAATACTCAAGAGAAGGTTTAGCCACCTTGAGGAGAATCTGTGTGTTCGCTCTACTTCAGCAGCCCTCCCTAACCCGTACTGATATTTACACATGCCCATGCACACACACACACACACACCCACTGTTGTGCTGAAAGGAGATTAGGATGAACTAGAGAAGTAAACCACGTGAAACCCTAGAGGTCACGGTTCATAGCTAAACAAGATTGCTCGCAGTTCATTAGAGATGTAGTGACAAGTTTTACTCGGAAGAGCAACCACTACGCCTCAAACTGAATATTTTACAGTAAAGAAGTATTTCTGGGGGCTCTAACATAATATTTTACAATAAAACAGCGTGTACTTCAATAGTAATGCCTAGGATAAGTTGTCACACTAATAGCTCCTACACTTTCCTTTTCTCGGGAAAAAAACAAATCACAAGGCAGAAACCGGAAAATTTCTATCATGTTTTCTGAGGAACTAACCTCTGTAGACAAATTACTCTACTGTCTATGGAGAAATCTTTTATGGCTTTCCGCCTAAATGGAAATAAGTTTTCCAAGAATCATAGCTATACATTAACTTCGATTTTTTTAATCTCTGCTTTTTTTAAGAAAAAAAATGGGAAAAAAATGTTTCTTAATACAAATGAAGAAAGTATGGATTAAGTAAACAGACACATAGAACCTCTTGAACTATGGATTGGCATTTCCAGTGAAACCTTTGACAGACAGAAGAGGGCCACGCGAAGAGCTGCGACTGATTAGATGTAAATCCAGGAACACAACTATAACTGTTATGTCATCATGAAAATGTCTTCTCACCCCACGATCAATCTTCTTCAAGTCTGAATATCTCATTTCTCGTTTTTTTGCTGCCTCACGAAGGGCTGCTTTGACAAGTCTCCTTGCAATACCCTGCACAAACTTGGGATTATTAAAGCATTTAACAACTCCTATCAGAACTTGTTTCCAGTAAACACGATAACAACAGATTTTGTAACTCTAGCTTGTTCAGAAAGTTGGAAAAAAAATGGCTATAACTCAGTGCTCAATAAACTATTCACAGGAAAATTGTGTTTTATTTTCTGTAGCATCATTAGTTGATCTTTCACCAAGTAAATTATATTCCTACTAAAATAACAATAAATAAAACAGCCTCATTATAAAGATGAGCAGCAAGTAGGACTCCTACGTTACGTGGACAGGTGTTGACTATATCAACAGCCTCCTGATTGCTTAAGTGCTCCCATAGGCCATCTGATGCAAATATTAGAAAATGATCTTCAGGTTGAATCTTATGCACTGATACTGTTGGTTCAGCTTTAAGGATTGGTTTACTGAAAGGTTCTGGAAGTCTAAACTTAGGCAACAGAGGCTCTTTATTGAATTCTGCCATCTTTAGATATGCATCTCCAATGGATCTTGAAACCTGTGAAATAACATATCTCCTTTGTCAATGCAAATATTTTTCATAGGATCACTGTATTTTGGAACAAGTATTGTTAGCAAAGCAGACAATAACTCTGAAACTTATCATGGCGTGCACATGACTTCTACTTCTACATCCTTTTGAAACAATGTACGCTCTTCCTTACATTCTTGTAAAACTTGCATGCAAAATCAGAATCCAATAGCCTTGTAGAACATGAGTGAGAACATCAGAATTCAGTTATAACTTTTAAGTGCATATACAATATTTGGCAAGAAGCATATTGCACGCACCAATGTGAAAACTATCAATCATTTTTTTTTTTTGAAATAAAAAGTATGAACATATTAACAAAGCACCAGGGAGGCGCAGGCCATGTACAAAAACTATCAATCATACATATAACAAGCAATCATTAGATAACCAAGTGCCTGAACAGATTAGGTGGTGAACCTGTAAGTAGGGTGTCGTAATGGGTATGGATCAGTTCCTTTACATAAATAAAGAAATATTAAAGCGTTGATTATAAAAAAGCAATATGATGAGCGTAAAATTAAAACAAAGAAACTGCAAGTTTAGGTTAGATTTCAGGATAGCATGCAATCGATGTACGTGTTTAAATCATTCAATTAACTTTCACATTTAAAAATTATTGACATGGAGAGATATACTTAATGACAGGAGTTATATTCTAAACCAGGTTGCGCATTTAGGATCAAAAGTTTTGATGCATGCCAACAGATTATTATATGTAGCACTGCTATAACGACATTAAAAAGAAATCAGAAAGATGAAGTTGAAGAGGGAAAAAAAAAAGAAAGCAAACCATGCACATGAGCAAGTATACATCGGAAACCCTCAAAACCTCACCTGTATGAGACCCTTAACACGCCAAACTTTATGTTTTAAAACCACAATCTGTGGATCATCGGGATGCAATGTGCGCAGTTCCTCTCTCACAGATTCAACACTCGCATTATGCTCATATGATAATTGAACAGCTTTGACCTCTTTAAAGGCTTTTTCCAATCTTCCTAAGACCACTCGAGAATCTCCTGCATTCGCAATGTATAGTAGTCCACTACAAATAATTCCTACCAAACAACATGATCCAACAGAAGCAATTTGGGCTTTGGTTTGCCACTGTTTCCGCACAAGCGTGAGAAATTCCTCTTCTGTGGCTAAAAAACCTTTGTTAATAACATCACCAGACATCCCATGATTTTCTGATGTAAACTCTGCATCATGAATATCTATAAAATCAATGAACCATCTAAAATCGGCACCAGAAACAGTATGGAAAAAAGTAAATAGATGTGTAGAGGGAGGCTTTCAACTGTTGGCATCCAAAAGATAAAAATTTCGCTGACTTGCCATTTGAAAACTTGCATTCACCACTATTTTGTTGCATAAAACATACTTGCACACTTCTCAAGCTCATGGAAAGTGAAAATATACATGCAACTATGAGCATAGCATCAAATTCTCAAAATGCAAAAACACTAAAGAGCTTATGTAACATAATATCATTGCCATTTCAGATAGATCTAGTTACAAGCATTCCATGTTATTCAAAGAATGGCCATGTTTTTCTCTTTCCCTACACACTTTTTCTTCCGCAAAATCAAGTTGGTTTTCCCTTTAAAGAAACATTTGTTGTCACATTGACAAAGAATTTGATTACTATTTTAAGAAAAAAATATTTGAAAGCAGCTCTCAAAAACCAATCCTGTTTCTGGAACCACTTTTTTTAGTGTTTTTCCCCCTTTCTTTTGTTGAACAGATGTTTATATTGTTTTTTTTTTCAAAGTCTTTACCATCAATACCAAGAACACACAAAAAGTATAACTCTCTACGAAGAGAGACAAGACAAATCTTTACTTTACTTACCAAACTATGTCTACAATGAAAAACAGAGAAAAAATCCCAGTCCTTTGTTCAAACAATATTACTTTGAAGAACAAGAACACATTCAAATACTCACTCTTTTGTTTCTGTAGCAAGCATTGATATATAACGTGCAAATTCACTCCTTACAGTTCCCTGCCTCTTAATGACAAGTCTCAACTCAACTAACCCTTGAACCCTTGAACCCAAGACAGTTAAGGTAGATTACGAAATGATAGAGGTTTCTTTTACCCTACAATCTTCGCCCTTTTTCCAACCATCTCAATCTATGTAAATCTTGGGTCGCCTAACCTGTTCCCTGTGGCATATCCTGAACAAAAACTAACGGAAAAGAAGACTGCAATAGAAAACAATGTCATTTATGAACCACATATTAAATTATAAGGCTCCAAATTTACAAAACATCATCTGTTTCAGTTCAAGAGATTGACATGAAAGAAACAACACACAAAATTAATTATTTCGGGGTCCTCAAAAGGTGCTAGAAAGGCAGGTGTAGAACCAGGTTCTTCAAAAGAAAGATAGTTTTAAATTATCTTCAGTTCCCATTTTATCCTGCAGCATGCATATGATACATGCAATTATATCACAAGACTCTATAGCTTCTGGATGTAGAAATCAAAAAGGCACAAAAATCAATGTGCTTATAGAATCATGGGCATGCATACCTAGGATAGGAAATTTATTTGACATCACATAGACAATAACTCCAAGATAATCATATTTGAACAATGAATAAAAACCAAAAGATATAATAATCATCAAATTGTAAGCTGAAACAATGAATACATGTGCATTAAGAAGAAGACATACTCTTGATATTACTGAAGAGGCGATCATTTACAAAACGGGCAGTTTCTGGACCTCCATGACCATCATATATTCCAATATATGTTCCATGAGGTCCTGAGTCGTGCAAGCTCATTGGCCCTGATTCAAGCTGACTTTGATCTTCCAAGAGATTTGTTTGCTTGAATTACTGGCCATTGA